CTGGCAGTGGCTTCTGACCGGGGCAGGAGGGGTAAGAGAGAGCCTCCAAGCCTAGGAAGTGGGGAGCAGGAGGCAGGCAGCGGCTCCCCTGGACATGGTCTCTGAGCTCCAGGCCACAGAGTCATTCAGAGATCAACAGCAGAGTCCGCAAATGCTAATTCTGAATTTTGCAACCGGTGCCCTGACAATACCTAACTTTGTTTCCAGCTTCCTTCACCCAATTCTTTGACTCTGAAAACCTTCTGGATCATTCACTAAAGCTGCCTTCCATATGTCTTGTGGTGTTCGCACCAGGGCTGAGCGGCAGAGGGATTTCACACATTCTGGGTAACACATAGAGTCACAGGGAGGCCTGTGTCAGCTCCATAGAAGGACACCTATTGAACTGTTAGAAATAACCGGTACCGGGGGCCGGCCCCGTGGCCAAGTGGTTAAGTTCAAGAGCTCCGCTTCGGCGGCCCAGGGTTTCACCGGTTTGGATCCTGGGTGCGGACATGGCACCGCTCATCAAGCCATGCTGAGGCAGCGTCCCACATGCCACAACTAGAAGGACCCACAACTAAAAATACATAACTATGTAGCACGGGGCTTTGGGGAGAAAAAGGAAAAATAAAATCTTTAAAAAAAAAGAAATAACCTGGTACAGATACGCATGGCTTCTGGAAGGAGTGAGCTTCCCATTCCCAGAGGTATATTAGCACTGTTCTGTAAAGGCACGAGCTCACGAACTGGTGGCTCTTTTTATTATCACTAACAGGAGTTTCAAGTCTTAGAGCAGTCAAGGGGGAGGCACAGATGGGGGAGGAAGCAGACAGAGGCAAGCAACCATGATGGGCTCTGACAAAGTACTCACTTTTTTTTTTTTGAGGAAGATTAACCCTGAGCTAACATCTGCTGCCGGATCGATCCTCCTCTTTTTGCTGAGGAAGACTAGCCCTGAGCTAACATCCATGCCCATCTTCCTCTACTTTATATGTGGGACACCTACCACAGCATGGCTTGCCAAGCAGTGTGTATGTCCACACCCAGGATCACAACTGGCGAAAGGGCTGCCGAAGCAGAATGTGTGAACCTAACTGCTGTGCCACCGGGCCGGCCCCCAGTACTTGCTTTTTAAACTGAAATGAAACTGGGGGATTCTTTGAGGGCTTATTGGGCAGGAAGAGGTAAGGGGGTTCCTCTTCAGCTGGGCATCAAATTTGTCCCTCTTCAAAATCTGCCTGGGGGAGGTGACTGGGTGTCTAACTTCAGGGTCCATGAACAGGTATTTGTAATATCTCCATTTTTGCTAAGAGGATTGGGGGCTCAGAGAGGTTAAGTAATTTGCCTGAGGTCAAACTGCAGCTGAGTAGCCAAGGGGGACAGCCAACCTTAACCACTACAAAGAGACTAAAAGCAGGGGCCGGCCCATGGTGGCCGAGTGGTTAAGTTTGCGCACTCCACTTTGGCGGCCCACGGTTTCGCCGGTTCGGATCCAGGGCATGGACATGGCACCGCTCATCAGGCCATGCTGAGGCATCCCACATGCCACAAGTAGAAGGACCCAGGACTAAAAATACACAACTATGTAGCCTGGGGCTTTGGGAAGAAAAAGGAAAAATAAAATCTTAAAAAAAAAGACTCAAAGTACTCAAAAACTAAAGCTCATCTGGTTCAGTGGTTCTCAAACTTCACCCAAAGAACTTGCTAAAAGTAAACTGCTTGAATGGGTTTTAGTAATTTGCATTTTAACAAAATATCTCTCAAAAAAAAACCAGAAAAAAACCCACAACATGCCTCTGGAGGTTCATTCTGATGCAGGGGCAGCGGTGACTTCGGTTAAGCAGCAGACTCTGGGGACTCAAGTGGGTTTAATGTCCTGTACTCCCACTTACTGGCTCTCTGTACATTGTTCTCACCTGTAAGATGATGATAATACCATCGGTCCTTGTAAGGAATTCCTGAGTTCAATATAATATAGTCAATATAACAAAATAATAAACAATGAAACTATTCAATATCTTTAATATAATATATAGTAAATATATAACTTGTTTAATAACAAAGGGCTTAGAATAGTGCCGGTCATTGCTAAGTACTACCTGTTGTTTATTTTTATACCCCATGTGATGGGGCGCTTGCTTCCACCTTCCCGGGCAGTTCATGTCATCTTTGGTCAGCCCTGGGCTGTGCCTCCTGGCCACGGTGGTGGGCGCGGGATGCAGCATCACTTTCAGCTGGATCTCTATACTCTCATGCGCAGAGTGGGTTGAAAAATTCTCTCTGGCCTTTTCGGGTATAAACCCCCAAAGGCGGAGAGCAAACCTTCCTAGCCACTAGGGGGAGCCACACACAGCGCTTGGAGGCGCTGCGGGGTTGGGCAGCCTGGGTTCCAGTCCTGATTCTCCGCTGGCTTGTTTGGTGTCCTTTGGCAGGATGTTTTCTCTCTGGGGCCTCAGTTTCTCTGCTAAATAGGCGTTTGGGACGAGGTTGGTGCATCTCACGGTCCCAGCTGCTCTAACGAGGGTGGGGAGAGTTCCTAGCCCCTAGCCCTGCAGGGCACTAGGACTCCAGGGCAGGAAGCAGGGGTTGCCACCCGGATGCCTTCCCCTCAAGTCTGGAGAGCATTTTTATTTTTTCTGCTCAGTGCGGATGGTGGGATTCAAACGGCAGAGAAACAGGAGAGGGGAACGGCATGGTGCAGGCGCTCGGCATGGTGCAGGCGCTGGAGAAAGGAAACCTGGCCCCATCCCCGCCCCAAAGCCCCCTGCTGAGTTGCCACGCCCAGATCCTATTGTTCCTTCCAAATCAGCAAATCTCTCCTTCCAGCTTCCAGCCTCCCCCTCTTCCAAACCTGCTGGCCTCCGTCAGGCCCCACTAGCTTTCAGATGTTGTGTGTACCCAATTCTGAGCTGGGATTTCTCGGAACCAAAGACATTTCATTATTTTATTCCTTGCCCATGTTTCTCTTGGGAGTCCCCAGTGAGCCAGACCCTGTGTAAGGCCCTGGGGTGATAGCGAAGTGATTTAAACAGACATGAACTTTGCTCTCAAGACATGCACAAACAGGTCAATACATAAATAAACTAGGTGATTTCAGATACTGTAGTGATCAGAACTATAAAGGAAATAAAACAGGGTGAGCTGATAGAGCATGAAATGGGGGCAACTTTAGACAGAGAGGGAAGGTCTCTTTAGAGGTGATATTTGAGCTAGGACACAGATGGTAAGTGGAAGGAGTTACAAGTGCCACCAAAGAAACAAGCCCAGTGGGGTTAGATTTCAAATTCCAAGTTCCCTATTCTTCATAAAAACACAGAGAAAGGCCTCTGGGGGAATCCTAGAGACTTTTGGGAGGAGGTGCCTTCAGTTTTTTCCCATAATGTGGGTGAATGGAGGGGCGCTCTCTACTGGTGACAAGAGTTAAATTTCAAATCACTGACCTGGAATGCCACATGCTTGTGACTTGACTCTGGGATAATTATGAGCTTCACTCATTTCTGTCTCTCCCACACTTATTCATTCAACAAATATTTAATGAGTCCCGAGTATGTGCCAAGCGATGTTCTAGATGCTGAAGGTAGAATTGCGAAACTGACAGTAAAGTCCCTGCCGTCCTGGAGCTCAGATCCTAGGGGACAGCTCCTAGCCCAGTACTCTACCTCTGCCCTCCGCTATTTCGCAGCTAAGTTGGCCTCCTAATGCTCCAACAGCCAGATACCGCTGCTTCAGGGTCTTTGCATCTGCTGTTCCCTTCCCCTCTGGAAAGCAGGTCCCTGGCTCTTCGCATTGCTGGCTCACGTCTCAGCTCAGATGTGACCAATTCAGAAAGTGTAAACTTACCTTATTTGTTTGTTTATTGTCTGTTCTCCCCACTAAAATGTAAGAGTCCATGAAGGTTACCATTTCCTGGAATCCTTCAGCCTCGCACTTCACAGGCGCACAGTAAACACTTGCTTTGAGCTTTCATTCACTCATTCAAAAAAACATTGGGGCCTGCCCAGTGGCGCAGTGGTTGTGTGCACGGTCGGAGGCTCTGCGGCCCGGGGGTTCCCCTGTTCGGATCCCAGGTGCGGACATGGCACTGCTTCACACCCATGCTGTGGTAGGCATCTCACAGATAAAGTAGAGGAAGATGGGCACGGATGTTAGCTCAAGGCTAGTCTTCCTCAGCAAAAAGAGGAGGATTGGCAGTAGTTAGCCCAGGGCTAATCTTTAGGGAAAAAAAAAAACCTTATCACATGCTGGCCAGCCTACTATGTGTCAGACGCTGGTGAACCGTAAATGAACGCATTGAACAAAACAGACCAAAAACCCCTGCCCAGAGCATTCTAATAATAAGATTGCAGCCTCTGCATCACCCACCCCCATTTCCTTGCTTTATTTTTTTTCTATACATTTACCACCTAAACTATTATAACTTACTCTTCAGTGTTTGTGTGTTGCCCCCCCCCCCGAATGTAAGCTTCCTGAGGGCAGGGGACTTTGTCCACCTTGTTCACCACCCTATTCTGAGCGCCTAGAACAGTGCTGGCACCCAGGAGATGCTCAATAAGCAAAGACTAAATGAACTCTAGACCTCAGCTTGTTCTTTTTCCTGCAGAACTTGAGCCATCTTGTTCCAAAGGGGAAATGAGCCTCACGGGGCGCCCAGAGGTGACCTCAGGCGGGCCGACCCAGGAGTCCGAGCTCCGGGAGAAGGGCCGTCGGAGCAGCGGCGGAGACGGGAGGCCCCGGGGGCGCGAGCCCAGCGAGGCGTAGTGGCCTTGGACACTTCCAGGAAGGGGCGCCAGCGCTCGTGGCGCCGAGCGGGTGTTGTGGGCGGTGCTGGCCGACGAGACGGATCACGTGACTCGAGCCGGCACCGCCCACCTCCTCTGGGCGGGGCGTCGGGGTGGGCGGGGGCGCATGCAAATCAGCCTGGGGCGGCAGCCAATCGCGGCGCGCGCCGAGGGTCCGGGCCCCGGGATCCGGACGCTGGCTCGCGCGCAGGCTCGCGTTGCAGCCTCCCCGGGCTTTTGCAAGAGGCGCGGCGGGGCTGCGAGCTGGCGCTGCAGGCGCGGTGACGATCTCGTCGTTGTCGTCGGCGCCCGGCCACGGGAGGCCGGCCCCGCGCGGGGGCAGGCGGTCGCTGCCTCAGGCGGAGGCGGAGGTGCGGCGTGGGGTGGGGGCCGCCGCCTTCGCAGGCGCCCGGGCCAGCCCGCGCCTCTGCAGCGTGCTCCATGCATCCGGAGCCCGCCCCGCCCCCGAGCAGCAACAGCCCCGAGCTTCCCCTCAGCGGCGGCGGCGGCAGCAACAGCGGCAGCCGCCGGAGCCGGCGCCGCAGCGGGGACGGGGAGCCCCCGGGGTCGTCACCGCCGCCGCCGCCGCCGCCGCCGCCTCCTCCTCCTCCTCCTCCTCCTGCAGTCACCTACCCGGACTGGATCGGCCAGAGTTACTCCGAGGTGATGAGCCTCAACGAGCACTCGATGCAGGCGCTGTCCTGGCGCAAGCTCTACTTGAGCCGCGCCAAGCTCAAAGCCTCCAGCCGGACCTCGGCTCTTCTCTCTGGCTTCGCTATGGTGAGCTCGGGCCGCCCTGCCCTGCCCCCTCTCCTGTCCTGGTTGTTCCCTCCCGCAGCCCCGATGGGGCCCACAGGGGAGCAGGCGGGCTGGGGTGAGGGGAAGAGCTGGGAGAAGACTCATGGACCCTGGAGGGGACCAGAGGTGTTGGACGTGAGCACAGATGAGCGACAAGTGATACCCGATTTGGGAAATTGGGAGGGTGACAAACCATACAAATGTCCAGGGTTGAGGGGCTCAGGTGCCTTCAGATGTGCAAGCTCGATGCAGCAAGGAGAGAGAAACAGCAGGATCCTCGAAGTAGATGTGCAAGAAGACCGTCCCACATATGTTCAGGGAGAAAGGAGGGACACAAAGGGTCTGATCTCCTTGGGAGCAGGTGTCAGGAGGTGGGAAGAGAGGGACCTCTGAGCTGTCTGTCTTGTACCCCCACACTTGAGGTCAGAAGAGGCTGGCCATGTTCTTTTATTACCTGGTAGAGGGGATTTCCTGACACCCTTTCTCCCACCGCATTTTCCGAGAGCCTGAGCCTGCTGTGCTGACAACCACTCCTCACTTTCAGTTTCTTCCCCAGAAACTTGCCACTGAGTCACTGGGTGTGGGGGAGGAGGGTGGGACATGTTCCTGTTGAATGGGCTCTTTCTTGATTTAGGGGGTTGGCATAGTTTCCTCTCCCCTTGCCCTGCTGAGCTAGAGTAGAAACAAGCCTCTGATGGGTGGGATGGGTGAGACACAGGTTGGGCGGAGAAGTGGCCTTGGGGATGCCTTAAGGCCTGGAATCTTGGAATCTTGGGACTAGGCCCTACGTAACAATTGATTATTATCACTTTCTTGGTGACATCAGCCCTCTTGAATGGGGTCAGCCCCCCCCCACCCAAGGTCTCTAGCCTAGAGCTCTCCTCCCTTTCCCAGTGATTGAGCTGAGCCCTTGGCCTTGAGGGAGGGCGTGGCTGCACCCTTCTGTTTTCTTGGGAAGGGAGTGTGTCTGGTCCTCTCGCTGAGTTCTACAAACAAGTGGGCCGGTGCAGTGGAGCCTGAACTTTTTAGAAAGCCTGAGCAGGCACAGAGCACACCAGCCACAGTGGAAAGGCCAGGTGACCGGGTGTGGAGAAGAGCTCTCCCAGCCCTGCCACTTGCTGCTTGTGTGACCTCAAGCAGAGCCCTCTCTGGGCCTTGATTTCTGAATCTGTAAGTGAAGGCTGCTGCTCAGAAGTTTCTCTGACTTTAAGAATTAAGTTGAGGGAGCCCTTGAGAGGGGGTGAGATTGTGTGTGTGTGCATGTGCAAGGGAGTGGGAGTCTAGTTTTTGGTTTAGGTCAATATGATGAATTCCATCCTATGTTCTGTCAGTCCCAGATCCTGTGCCACCCATCTCTGCCTTGTGCCTGAAGAATCTCAAAGAATAGCTGACATTTACCATGCACCTGCTGTGTACTAGACACTGCATAGGTTCCTTAACTTCCATACTCCTCAGCCACCCTTTTGAGGTGAGTCTTGTCATGGGACTGCCCGAAGGCCACCCAGCTAGTCTGCTGGAGGGAGATTTGAACCCGGCTCTGCTGGCATCCAGAACTCAGTTAGGCTCTTGTGCCATTTGTGGTGTATGGAGCTCTGATTGATATCCAGCCAGGGACATGTTAGGACCAGGCCTTGTAGGGAGTGAGACATGGAGCAGAAAAGTTTCTTTTAAACAAAATAAAATTTTATGTTTTGGGGGAAGGGAGAGGAAGGGAGTGACATCAGCAATTGTCAGCTCCCCGCAGCAGCGCTCTTCAGGTGCCATGCCTGTTCCCTTTTTCTTGGGATCGTAAATTCATAGCTGCCCAGGCCCCCTCCCACTCCAGGAGAAGTGAGGACCCTGCCTTCTTGAGTCTTGTCTTCCTCCCGAAGAAGCCAGGCCTTTTAATCAAATGTCACCTCCCTCTTCCTCTTGCTAAAAACAGTGTGAGGAGGCAGGGGCAGCCAGCGACTTTGGGTGGGCCTTGGCTCACCCAGACTGTCTCTTGGGGACCTTTACTTTCCCCAGCCAGGGTGGAGAAGGCTTCCTGGCTCCAAGATGGAATCCCCAAAGTTCTGCCAGCAGGGAAGGGCCGAACCCCGTGACAGCCTCCATTCTAGTGAAGCAGTTACAAGAGGTAACTGCGTTTGCCATCAGTCTGGAAATCAATGAGAAAGATGGGGTTCGGGTAGAGAGTGGGGCTCAGCAGGGTAGGTGTGCCCATGCCCCACCCCCGCCGCAGACACCCAGCTTTGTGAGTGAGCCTCCGAGAGGAAGGGGTGCTGCACAGCCCAGTGCCATGGAAACAGAGTGAGCAAGTTTCCTGGACTGCTCCCCTTTAGCCTGTGAGTCAGCACAAACAACTTCCTGCCCCCGGAGGGCTTCCTTCCTAGAGACCTGGAAAACCAGAGGAACTGAGGTGACTTTTGATCTCCAGGGTGTGGGGGAGTTGGTGTGGATGGGAGGCTCACCTGCTCACCAGGTGAGATGGAGGGAAAATCTCCCAAGAGCCTGGAGGGGATTGACCCCCACCACCACCACCGTGGGTGGAAGGGCCTGGCAATGGGATCTCAGACAAGCAGCTTTACTCTTTGGGGGCCAGTTTTCTCATGTGTACGAAGGGGGCACAGATCCTCTTCCTTCATGGACTTACATAAGGATTCATTAGGAGGCCAGATTGGGCCCACGAAGGGTTGAGGAATTTCCAGGATCTGATGGTGTATACCTTAGCTGGCCCTCTACTGTGCAGACAAGATTCCCGCTCCTGACAGCATTTCTAGAAACAATAGGCCTTGTCTGGGCTCAGCATTGATTCCAATGAAAGATACAAAACCGGGGGCCCTGGATGAGCACAAGATCAGCATCCTGCACCCTTGAGCCGAGGGTGCTGTCATGGACTATGATCCATGCCGTCCGTGCCTCAGTTTACCTCTCAGTGAGAGGCAGCCAGCCTCAGCTTGGCCGTGTGCCCTACAGGACCGTGGCAAGCACGCATGGCCATCTTGGTTAGCTGGGGAGGGCAGGGTGTAATGTTAGCCTAAGCAGAAGATAATTGGGAAGGTCAGCCTGCTGCTGTAAACAAAATGCCTTCCACGACCTGGGATCAATTATTTTTGGATTATCTGCCTCCTCAAGTTCTCTGCCCGCTAGCACCCTTTTGTTCCCAGGTTCCAGAGCAGGTTTAGAAGTTTCTTGGAATTTCTGTTGAAAATGAGTTGGAAGGAAGAACTCAAATCATAAGACACTGAGCCTGTGACGTGTTCGGAGTTTGGTGGGCATGGAAGTGAGAGTAAGAAGTTACCAATCACGTTGCTGATACTAATGGTAATCATTGCTGTTGATAACTGGGCTCGTGCAGTAGGCTCGCTGCTGTGCAAAGTATTGTTGACCCGTCTCGTGAGGGTAGGTGCTCATCCTAGGTGAGTGACGTCCTCACGGTTACCTGGCTGGTAAGCTGCTGAGCTCTGGCCTGTAGTGTAGCCCCGTTGCTAGAGGAGAGGAAGCATCGGAGTTGGGTAGGGCGGAGCTGGGGGGCTCCAGTGTGGGAGAGCAAAGTAAGACAGCTTGGGTTCAGATCTGGCTCTACCATTTACAACAGTGAGACCCTGGGGAAGCCACTTAATGGCTCTGGGCCTCAGTTTCCTCATCTGTAAAATGGGGGTAATAATAGTATCAACTTCATAGGTTTGGTGTGAGGATTCACTGATTTAGCATTTGCAGAGCACTTAGAATATCCCTGGCCTGAGTACCCGGGGAACTTACTTACCTTTGTTCCCATGGTGTTGGGACTGCCTTTATAAGGGTTAACTGATTGGGAAGAATGATTCCAGCTAAGCCTTGAGGGTGGTAGAGGTAGGGCTTGAGGAAGAGCCCCTGATCAGAGGAGGTGTCTGGGACAAAGTCACAAAGATGAGAAATTATAGGGTCTCAGGGAAGGGCAGAGGGGCTGATGTGGCTGTAGCTGAGGGTGTGTAGGGAGTAGTAGAGAAAGATGAGTCTAGCCAGGCAAGATAGTGGAGGGCCTTGCCTAGCTGTTTAGGAAGTTTGAACTCTTGTATTGGCAATGGGGAGCCATTGAAGGTTTTGGAGCAGAGGAGTTACATGATGAATTCTGGGATAATGATGATGATGTTGCTGAACACCAGGCATGAGTCTGGACCCTTTTCTTTCATTCCTTTTTTTTTCTTTTTTAGAGTTTATTTTTTCCTTTTTCTCCCCAAAGCCCCCCGGTACATAGTTGTATATTCTTAGTTGTGGGTCCTTCTAGTTGTGGCATGTGGGATGCCACCTCAGCATGGCTTGATGAGCAGTGCCATGTCCACGCCCAGGATCCAAACTGGCGAAACCCTGGGCCACCGCAGTGGAGCGTGCAAACTTAACCACTCAGCCACAGGGCCAGCCCCCTTTTCTTTCATTCTTATTGAATCATCAGAAGGCTCTTAAAGTCGTGTACTATAGATAGAAAATCTAAGGCTCATAGAGGTGAAGATCACCCAGCTAGTAGAATTCAAGCCCTGGTCTGTCTGACTTGGAACCTTTTCTGCTCAACCAAGCTCTCACCCGTCACCTTAGCTGGTCGGCAACTGGGCCTTTGAAGTCTTCTGGGTGTGCGGCTCTGCACTCCGGGCTGTGTAGAAACGGAATTTTGCTGAATGCCCTGAGGGGAGGACACTCCCTGCCTAGCTGAGAAGCCTCTTGTAAAACTTCACAAGTGCCTGGTGGTGCATTTCTAGAACTTTCCACTGGGATCTGTGTTGAGCTCTGCTGGTTGCTGGGTCCAGGGCTGGTGAAGGAGAAAGCTAAGGCTTCCCCAGGTGGCCTATGGCAATCGGTGCTGGGGAGAGGAGGAGCTCCCTTGGAGAAATAAAACTGAGAACATTTAAACAGAAGCCAGGAGGTTTCTCCCTGATAGGCCTTCTGGGGAGCCTTAAATGTGTTCCCTAGCAGGGACCTCTCAAACTGATAGGGCCACACGCTGTTTTCTTCAGAGGAGAATTTCCTGG